GCAACTTGCACAAGACCCTCATGGGGGCGTCCATCTGTCTATATATTCCTCTCATTGGTTGGTGAATAAAACACTGTTTGGCCAATAGAGGCAGGAAGATAGATGGGACTAGGAGACTGGGAAAGATAGGCAGAGTCACCACGTGAGCCGCCAAAGGAGAAACAGGTCCGGACATTCTCCAGTAAGCCAAGACCACGTGGAAATACATAGAGTTATAAAATGGGTTAATTATTAAGACAGAGATAGCCAATAAGAAGCCCTAGCCATCGGCCAACGTTTTTATAATTAATATAACGTCCATGTGTTCATTTGGGGTTGAGGGCAGGGGACCTGGCAGGACAAGAACTTCCAGCTACAAAATGGCGTTCACGCATGGAGTGAGATTTTCCACAGAAAGCCTGACAAAAACGTGCCCGCCCCTGTTGCCCATGCCCATTAGGGCGTGGGCACAGGTGCAGACACGGCCAATCCTGTGACTCTTGTGCTGTGCACCAGTTATCTCCTTCATTTGGGGCCCAACGTGGGGCTCGAACCCACAACCCTGAGATTAAGAGTCTCATGCTCTACCGACTGAGCTGGGGTCTGGGGCCCCAGACCTAGCCTCCCATAGGTCACATCCCCACTGTGCCCAGTGCAACAGGGGCGGGCAGGGTGGATATCTCACTACAATTCCCCTTTTAGTCTAAAGATTTAAGCTTGACACACTATATACAAAGGTAGTAAATATCAAGTATGCTTTAGGGAAAGGAAACGTAGGAGCATACACACTTAAACCCTACTGCAGTGAAGTAACAAGAGCAAGATGGGAAGAGATCCTATCCAGTCCTCGGGCGAAGGCACAACAGGGATCTCTATAGAGTGTCCTATTCTGGAAGGTTACGTCTCATACCTAACATTTCTATCTAGGAAGAGAGAACAATAATCGTGACAATCTAATCTTCACCGTCATCAAAGACCTGAGAAGGGAGATAACAATACTAGGGTGGGCAGGAAGTGCAGGCGAGCAGCTTCCAAAAGGTGCGGTGAAGACAGAAACGGCAGGCTACCCGGACAGTCACACAAAGTCTCACAGCAGCGTAGGGCAGCCATCTTTGGCTGAGGCCTAGAGTGACTGACTGACCAGCACAGAAGCAGGGGGGAAGAAAGGCTGTCTAACCCGACTTGGCAAGGTTCAGCAGTCGTCTATGTTTGTCTCCTGCAAGCATAGTAGGACAGCATGTCCAAAGTCAGCGGTCGAGGTGAGGGCAGTTCTTTGCCTAAGAGGCCACAGCCCAGGAGAGGATGGATTCCAGGAGTGACATCAGTGCCCAACATTTTCTCGGGAACAGCTTGCTGCTCTCAGGAGCAAATGTGTCTCATGTCAGTGGGGTACTAGTATTGAAATATTTAAATGCCAAATTCTGCAGGTCTATGAAGTGTTTGAAGATCAAAATCTATGTTTGACGAATCCCATGCATAAGAAATATGGGTGAAAATATCTCTAATTTTCAGGGACCTAGTTGTACAATGGTTGAAGCTTCCAAACTAATCTAGCAAGGACAAAGACTTCAAAAAATGTAACTATATACATATATATCTTTCTCACTAACAGAGATAGACCTGAAATGTCCTAACTAGAGGTAGAACTGTGAGTGCAGAATGATAAAATATCCTACGTTGTATCAATGTACAAAATGTAGAAACATCCAGATGGTTTTACATTTGTGTGTGAAACATCTTAAGCAGAAAGATGACCCTAAACAGTCAACATACAATTTATCAAGGATTTAGCAATTTAAGTTCTCTATAGCTAACAGCTGCTAAAGTTAGTGCTCTAGAAATTATCTACCTGTATCCCATCCTAACCACACCCTTCCCAACCATACCCTAAACGTATCTAAAAGAGATACCCGAGTCTGAAATCACCTTTCATACCCAGCCCTAAGCAACTAAAAACCAACCCTATGCAGGTGTGTATCATCCCTTACTACCAACAGTAGGGACAGGGGATGTTGTTTCCTTAGGATTACTTCCTGCTGAAATGAGACTACAATGACTCCATGGGATTCTGTAGGGAAAAAAATTAAGGCAACAAAATTTCTGGAGGGGACTAGCTGCAACATTTGTAGCTAGTCTCCCAGCATTGTAAGAGAAGATAGCTATCCAGAAAGAACCATGAAACAAAGAAGAATCTGACATATGGCACCAATATCTAATTCTGGCAAACTATTTCTATACAAAAATGTATTTCCTTTGACTTCCTAGTACTCTGTTAGTTCCAATTCATGTAATCCAATGCTGGCTTTGGAGCTGGATCTGGCTTTTCTCCTCTAAAGTCAAGCATGTTGTTAAAATAAAATTCAGAGCTTCTGTCTTCTATCAAGAAGCCAATTGGTGTAAGACAGAAGAAAGCAAAATTTAGGGACTGTCATTTGTCTAAACTCGGTTTTCTCTCTGAAATCCTATTTCCCCTCATACTTATTTTCATCCTTACGGTTGCCTTTCCCAGTATGCATACCCATAAAAGTTGAAATTTGTGTTGATATTAATGTCTAAGTTTCCCAGGAGGAACAATAACAATGTCCCTACTAGATGTGGAACTGTGAACTGCAAAATGATAAAATATCCTAAGTTGCATCAATATATACAAAACGTACATACATCCAGGCAGTTTTGTATTTGTGTGACCTGTGGGAAGCTAGGTCCAGGGTGCTGGACTCCGGTTCGTTCTCTTCCTCCTGAGATTGGGTCACCTAGAGCAGCCGGTGTGGATCCTCGGAGCAGGGAGTTGTGGTGGCCATCTGCTTCGAGTGTAAGTGACTTCTCCCCGAATAAAATTGTATTGCTCTATATTTGAGCCAGTCCCGTGAATCTTGTGCCATGCACCAGTTATCCACTGCAGATATCCCTGCTTAAGGATGGGCTGAGCATCACCAGGCTCTCATCTCCATCATCGCCCCTGGTCCTCCCAGACAACTGTATGTAATTTTTGCCATAACTGTACATGGACTTGTGGTCCCAGGACTTGCTAGAGTGTACACACTACAGAGGGCTGGCAGAAAGGAGGGAAGTCATCGTCTATGTCCGTGGTGTGGCTGTCATCTTCTGTAGGTAAATCCAATGAACTTCCTGGTCCCCACAGTTGGACTTCGGTGTTTCTCTACGGTTTTCACCAGTGCCCTATTTGTGTACGTCGCCCCAGAAAGTGTCCCCCACAACAGATGGTGACAACATTCTCCACCTGCATGTAGGTCAACTCAGACCAAGCCTCATCCATTCTCGCCATCTGTGAGGCAATCTCAGCAGAAGGGTGCTGCTTTGAGTTTCCTTTCTACGGTGTTCACTTAAAATCACCCCCAATGTTTAGAGAACCAGAAGCCGTCTTTTTTTCCACAGGCAGGGTTCTGCGTAACAGCTCCGGCTGTCCTGGAACTCACTTTGAAGACCAGGATGGCCTTGAACTCACAGATCCACCTGCCTCTGCTCCGCAGTGCTAGGGTTACAGGTGTCCGCCACCACTGCCTGTCCATCTTCATTCTTAAATTTAAACAAATGCAACTATGAGATAAATTTAAATACAGTTCTTTAAGTATTTTTATTTTTTTCTGAAATATATGCCCAAGATGGCAGTAACTCCTAGGGTCAAACTATGATGCTCTCCAACCGCAGCCATGAATGACCACTCAGGGGTGCAGCGTGGAGACATCCACCTGGCCTGGGGAGGCAGCCTGCCATTGCTGGGATGCACTTTCTTTTAAAAATGAAAGGAAAAGGCAGACACAAAGAAATCACAAAAATGCATTACTTTATTGCACCAAGATCTTGGCAACTTGGGGACTCCTGAAGAGGAGGTGCAGAGAGAGTGTGGGGTTCCCTGCACACACACAGATGCAGCCACACAAGGGTGTAGGATGAGAACAGCCCCTAACAACAGGCGGTGAGCGAGAACAGAAACACCAGGGAGGTGGCCCTCTGTACACGGGCCCAAATCACATCTACCGGCAAGCACAAGGTTCAAAACGATGTGATTTGATCCAACCAAACAGCCACTTTCCGAAAAGCTTCAGTTACTTATGTCAGTACGTGTCACCTAGACCTGTGATGATTTTCCCGGGTCCCTTTCTAACCCTAGCCTCTTTGTACTGACTTCTGAGGAAGGAAAGGACTTGCCTTCACTGACAGCAGTACATGCTGCCGGAAGTCAGCTGTCAGCTGGGGGAACGATGACGACGACCCAATCGGCAGTGGAAGAGGTTTTGCAGCGTGTACTCTAGTAGACAAAGGGGGGGGGGGGGCAATGCAGGAGACGCGAGGACAGTTCTGTGCTGGCAGCTTCTACACAACTAGAGAATGTCACAGGAAATGACAAGCGTGGCCAGGAAGCAACGGATACAGGAGCAAACGGCAATACCTCAAGTCAAAGGACAATCCCTGCCCATGAAGGTGCCTGCCTCCCTCCAAGACACGGAGCCCACACCACCCCTGGACACCACAGGCAGAACCCGGCCCACACAGAACGGACCGCATTCGGCCGGAAGACTCAGCCAGCGGGCCCGTCACGGAGCTGCTGCCCCCTCCCTGGAGAAACAAAGGGACGGATACAAACACCCGCGTGGAGACATGACCCTACCTCCCGACATGGAGAACCAAACTCTTCTTTCCCACATCTGACCTGGGCATCAGAGAAAATGCTACACGTGATTGACAAGGCAGCCAGCCCCTCCCCTCCCGAGAGGCCCAGACTGAGGCGGCCAGCCCCGAGCAGCCGAGGACTCTGGGAGAGAAAAGAGATGTGCCTCACGAGGAGGAGACTTCTGGTACCTTCCATCTCTTGGGCGCTGTCTTCCCTTGCTAAGGAGTCTTGTGTGTTAAATCCTAAATCCAAAGGGACGGCTTGAGCAAGACGAGAAAGGAATCTTCTTGAGTCGTACAATCATCTCAATTTCAAATCACTCACAAAATTGAGCAAATAAAGCCATTATTTGCATATCAGGGAACATATTGCTACTGGAAGCCACAGGCCTGGTCAAAAATAAATGCTTTATCATAAGTAATAAAATAACGGAGAGTTCATCTCCAAAGACCACCCCCTTGACAGAGACCCTCAGGTTAGTGCGGACGCAGGAGAAGCTCATCAAAGCCACCTGGGCAGGGACAGCAGCCTGAGAAGCAGAGGCACAAATTTCAAGGCTCTGCCACGTCTGGAGCTGCTGGTTTCTAGAAGGAGTGAGTCCTTCAAGGAGATGCACTTGGCGGTGGGGGGCAACGCAGTCACCAGGGTTTCTCCTCTGCAGCTGACAGTCAGTCATACAGGGGCCCTCTGAGGAGAGGGCCACAGACAGCTCCAGCAGGAGAGCAATGGAGGGCTCACCGGAAGAGGCACTGACATGCCCCCATCCTGAGCGAAGGACATGCTGGGAGACGCTGGCCCCCGTCGCTTGTCTCTGACAGCCCCAGACCAGGAACAGAGGGGTTTTCCTACTCAGACCCCAGGGACTATGAGGACGTCTCCTAGGTTACTGTCAGCATGACACCACAGACCAGGCTTCCTCTTGTGAGGTTCATTATGAATGCCACCAGAGGCCCTGAGCTGAAGCCCCGAGACTTCTACATTGGATCATCTGTGAACGGTGGCACCAGGAGCCTCCACCACGGCAAGTTCACGGTGCAGTGGGGTCTGCACAAGGCCGCTCCTCAGATCCAAGTGGACAGTTCCCAGGATGTGACGGGACAGTTCTGGGGTGCAGTGGCACACTGGTCTTCCTGGTGAGAAGAGAGATCAAGACAATCCTATGACATCCCTGGGTCCTTCAATGACACAATCAGTCACACCTACAGACAGACAGACACAAGACACACACATCACAAACTCATGCACCACACAATGCAAGACAGTTACAAAAAACACAGCACACATAAACACCACATGCATCACAGGCACACACACACACCAGACAGAACACACAGACCAAATGGTCAAGGACACCACACATGCAACAGGCTTCACATGCCACATTCATACCATAGACACCGCAGACACATAGGACATACACCACAGACCGCACATGCTACACACACACCAGCCACCAGGGACAGATATACATGACAGGCGCACCAACACACACACCAAACATACAGGCATACGCACCACAGACAGACACACCCCAAGCTGACCTCTAACGAGCACAGCAGGCTCAGCGGCGATAGCCGAGGCTGGCAACCTTAGCAGGATGAGTCACAGACCAGAAGTTTCGTCTACTCTGGAGCTTCTGGAAGGCATTGAAGTTTCTCTTCTTTTCTCTCTTGAGCTTTTTGATTTTCTTTTCCTGCATTAAGAATCAGGGTGTCATGGCTCCCAGAGAGGGCTCCTCCAAGCCTGGCAGGCTTTTTGCATCACACATGGCCTCCCAGACACGCGTGCAGTTATCGTGCATGGACAGCGCCCTCTGAGGGACGTTCCTGCCACCCTCACTTTCCTGAGGGAGAGACCCACACCTGCCCAGGGAACCCAGGAGGCTGACTCCAGCCTGGCCTCAAGTGCTCTGTGTACAGCTACACCACAAAATGCTTTCGAGTTGAGCCATGCCCACCTGCTGCCCACGCCTATGGTCACAGCCGCCCACCATACCTTCCCTCGATCAAACTCCTCATCCCAGTCGTCAAGCACAGTCTGGGTCCGGGCCAAACGGCTGTCTTTGATGGCATCCTGACTGACCGCTGAAGGCTCACCATCCCAGGTCAAAACTGTACAAGACACGTTCTGTCAGCACCCATGGGTCCCAGCCACCCTGCAGACTCCCCTCAGGGTTCCTTTACCACCAAGGGCCATCTACTCTAACCCGTGGAGGGTTCTGACTGCCCCTTAACAGGACAAACACAAGGGCGGAGACACACAGCTCATGGGTGTGACCAATGTGAGCTCCAATTCCAGCTGCAAACTCTCTCTCACTTCTTCACGCTCCAAGTCTGCCTTGTAAAACGCGGCCCCAGCCTGGACTGCCAGCACTACAGCTGTAGGCTGTCACGCCTAGCCCTTCTGCACTGGCCCAGGGTTCCCACTCCCTACTCTGTCCTGCTCTTGGGCCCCATCTTCTGCTTCCACGGACAGAATTTGCCTTTCTGCCGCTGCAGGGGTCCCGTTAAAGCACACCCAACAGCTGTTTAAGCTTATGAACCTGAGCAGCGTGGTCTCCACATCTCAGAGCACACCAGAGCCTCACCCCACCCCGCACAGCCCAGACGAGCCAGTCCCTAGGAAGCGAAAGCCCTGCTGGGGGACCCATACCTTTTTTCCCGTAAGCCTTATCACTCGAGTCCTGGAGCAGCTCCTTGACCACATCCGGCTCTTTATCTCTGTTCCAGGCCACGAGAGGTGCTTGTCCCAGCCCTGTAGTCAGAGGACACACTAAAACCAAATCACTGAAGAAAGAATCCCACATCCTTGTCATGGCCCAGCAGAATATGCTGTCAGTAGACACTTCCTAGTGGCAATCCTACCCCACTGCCAAGCCCACTCGTGAGAAAACAACAGAGCCAGACTGAGACCCCGCCCTCAGTGTGACAGAAGAGGTGGCTGGCTCTAAGTGGAACCTACCTAGCCAGCCACGAAGGGGCTGCTGCAGCTGAGACCTTCACTAAGCGCTTGGCTCCCTGGGAAGAGCAGGACTCTTTCCTGTCACCCCCCCCACTCCCCCACCCCCGCTTCCTGAGCATACGTGAGCAGTTCTGTTCCGCCATGAGCCACTGATGAGCTGCACTACAGGCCCAAGAGAGCAAGGCACACCGAGCCTGGACTGCAGCCCTGCCTGTCCGCCTGCTGGCCTGTCTGTCTGTCTGTCCACCTGCCAGCCTGCCTCCCGATGTTACTCGGTCCAGCCACGCCTCTTTTCTAAGATGACTGTCTTAGGTGTTATCTAGTGACAGAAAGCTGAGCTGACATGTGCCTGCCAATGAGGAACAGTAAGCTGCCACCCTGTGGCTATCAGCAGGTGTCCTCACCCAGGCGGTCACTGGCAAGATGGCCATTCATTCTCAACTCAGGGGCGGGGGTGACACTGGGCCTCGGGCTCCTCTGGCCTTCTGGGAGCTTGTTTTCTTCTTCCTCCTGCTGTGACTCATGTTTTCTTTTTCTCCTCCTCTTCTTCCTCTGCAAGTCTGTCCTGACCTCAGGCTCACAGTGGTCCGCAGGGGAGCAGCTGTGGGGAGGCAGAGTGGCACCCATCAGGCTGTGAGACAGCTCAGATGTTAATGGCACTTGGCACCAGGCCTGCGGCCCCGAGTCTGATCCCTCAAGTTGACCACTACGCATGTGCCCATCAGGGTGTACAAGCATGCTCACATGTACACACACATATAAACAAATAATGTCCTTAAAATGCGTTGAGACTGCTCAATGGGTAAACATGCTTGCCACCAAGGATGACAACTTGAGTTTGATCCCCAGAACCTACACGGTGTAAGGAAATAACACCTGCAAGTTGTCTTCTGATCTCCACATGTGTGCGCATGTGCACACACGCACACACACACACACACACTAAAAGGGGAGAAAAAGGACTCAGAAAGCAAAGCAAGGCTATAGATGGCTCAGTGTTTAAGAACACTGCTTGCCATTCCCAGCACAGTCATGGCGGATCACCTGTAACTCAGGGAATGTCACGGTCACATACACAAAGCTCCACCCCACATTCCTGAGATTCGCTCCACACTGAGCTGAGGACACAGGGGGCCTGCTGTGAGGCTGTGAGTGACACAGTCAGCATGATTAGGACTAGAGATACCACACGGTCCCTCTTGTACCCAGAGCACGCACACTGCGCCCACAGGATGTTGCTGCAACCTCACCTAAACATACAGGCTGGCCTGGGGCCACCTGACCCTGTTCTTGGCCTTTCCTATGCACAGTGACAGCCGTGACCTACATGTGGCTGTCCTCCTCCACTCTGGGGAACTGGCATGAACTAACACAGTACACACGCCACCCCACGACAAGGCCAGCACTACGCTGTTAGCCCACCCACCTGGGAAGGCTATGGGCACACGACAGCCATGTTCTTACCCATGCTGTAGAAGATTCTGGGACAGGGTGGCTTCCTGGCTAAGTCCCTCTGATCTCTTCCTCTTCCTCCTTTTCCTGCTGCTCACATGGTGACTGTCCAGGATGTGACTCACTTGATGGTCGCTTGCCTGGGGATTTGTACCCTCTGCCTTCCGGCCCCTGGGACTCCAAGGCTGGTCCTGAGGCTGGCCTTTCTGCTGGGGAGCCCTGGGAGCCACACCCTCCAGGCCCCTCTTCTTCTTCTTCCTCTTCCTGCGTGCTCCTGCAGGTGCTCCCCCGAGGCACTGTGGGAGGTGTGTATCTATGGCCAGTCTCTGGGGATCTGCATTAGGGGTCTTCTTCCTCTTTCTGGAGGGGCCGTGCGGGGCCTCGATGGCCTCTGGCAGCTGGTGTAGGTGGGACAAGTGCCCATTGACCTGAGGCAGGGGCGTCCAGGCAGAGGAGCAGCAGCTCTGTGGCTCTGATGTCCCTAAGGGCTTGGCGCTACTACTGGACAGTGATGCAGAGTGGGGGTGGACGGAATGCTTCGGGAGGGTAGACGGTCGGGGAGCAGGTGTAACAGCCCTGTAGACAGTGGGTACAGGAAAGTCACTGAAGAAGATATGTACAAGTCGTCTTTTCTGATAACCCTCACCCCAAACCCCTTTACACCTTAGAGTTTGGGGGACGAGGTGGGGGGGGGGTGAGGCAGGTCTCTCTATCAAGCTGGCCTCAAAATCAGAGATCTACTTGTCCCTGCCTCCTGAGTGCCCGAGTTAAAGGTGAGCACCGCCACGCCCGGCTCACCCTAGAACTTTACTTCTAAGATTGTTTTAGTCATTAGTGCTCTATTTGCATGTATGCCTGTGCAACAGGAGAGGACATCGGACAGAACACGGTATCGGATCCCACTATAGATGGCTGTGAGCCACCATGTGGCTGCTAGAATTGAATCCAGGACCTCTGGAAAAGCAGCCGGGGCTCTTAACTGCTAAACTGTCTCTCCAGCACTCACGCTAGAATTTTAAAATGTTATTTTGTCTCTGTAATTCTTAGACACAAACAAATTCCGCAGGCTCCAAATAATAAAAGCAATACATATCTCAGTTTCTTGTTACTTTCTTGTTTTTTTGTAGTGCTGAAAACTGAACAGGAACGCTGGGCATGCCAGGCAAGCATTGTACCACTGGGCTACACTCCCAGAACAGATCCGAATACTACGAATTCTATTTTTTTAATTTAGGCATGGTGATACATATCTGCAATCATAGCACTTAGGAGGTAGAGGCAGGAAGGTCAGGCAGTCAAGGCCAGCCCTTACCAGTTAGTGAGTTGAAGAGCAGCCTGTGACACTTGACAGCCTGTCTTCAGACTGACAAGTAATAAAAAAAAAGTGTCAACACTTGCATGTGATCCCAGAACTTAAGAAATAGAGGCTGGAGGGTCGGAAGTTCAAGGTCATCCTCCAACACACATCAAATCTGAGTCCTGCGAGGGCTACAACGAAACAAACAAGACCAGTTGGGTATCCCAACCCAGGCCTCAGCCACAGCACTTGGGAGGCAGAGACAGGTGAGTTCCTGACCAGCCAGGGCTATGTAAGTGAGGACCTGTCTCAAGACCACCCCCAAACCCTCCCTTCAAACAACAAAAACTAAAAGCAAAGCAAAGGAACCAAATGTTTCAAAATTTCAACTCAAATGTGTTAAGAGGTGAAACAAAACATCTGTCCAGATCGATCCTCCAATCTCCAGAGGCCACATGGGTTCCCCTTGGGGACCGAGCATTGCAATAGTAGCAAAACAAGCCTGGCACCGTCCACAGTGATGGAGCTTGGGAACCCAAGCTCACAGAGGCAACTGGAGCGAGGCGCGGCTGAGCACACGAGGCATGCCTGTGCAGTCACTGCAGAGGGTAGTGGGTTCGTGGAGACCACACTTGTCATCGATCGTCCAAACTGTCACAGACTAGCTGAGCCACTCATACCGGTGTCACTGCAAGGGCTGGCTAGAGCTTCAAACAACATTCACTCTGGGGCTGAGAGCTGGCTCAGCAGTTAAGAGCACTGGCTGCTCTCACGGTCGGTTTCCAGCACCCATATGGTAGCTCACACTCACCCGAACTCCAGCTCACCTCTTCTGACCTGCGGGCACCAGGCACACACACACACGGTCACAGACATAAATCTAAAAACAATTACAACCGACTGCATATGGCAAGTGTGGTGGTGCACAGCGTTAACCCCGGCACTCAGGAGGCAGATGGGGGAGGATCCCCGAGTCTCAGGCCGACCCGATCTATACAGAAAAACCGTCTCGAGCAAAAACACGACAAGGAATGAACAACTCCCGCCAATGTCTCAACATTTAAGAACACACCAAAAATGTCATGCTAGGGACAGGACGTTTGCACATCCATGCTGGAGGTGGAGGCGGCAGCAGAGAAGTCACGCTCGGGCAGCCTGGGATGCAGGTGCCCAGCAGAGCCCCGGCCTTACTCCTGCCGCTCTTCCTTCTGGCCCAGGGGCCATGGCCTCTGGGTCCCTGCGAACCCAGCTAACGTGTATCTTATGCTGCCACTCAGCAGCTCTCCAGGGGACACAAGCACCGTGTGTTTCAGCACCTCACTGGGTCAGGGAGGTCAACCCTGACCAACTGAGGCTCCTTCACCAGACAAGGATGGACCGGGGGTGGGGGGTGGGGTGGCGCCTCTGTCCTCAATGACCATGGCTCTTCACCAGCCAAGTGCAATACCACAGCAGGAGAGCGGTCGGCATCCAGGGGCCTACGCCAAAGCTCACCTGGCTTTACTGACAGGCCCAGTGGAGGCAACGACGGGGTGGGTGGCTTTCATGGGGTAGGTGAGGTCGGAGAATGCTGAGGGGGGAGGTGAACCGATGTCATTGCCGGTCGCCCTCCGCAGGGTGCTGGCCTGCAGTTATTGACATAAATAAAAACTTGGTGGTCTAAAAAAGGTTTCCGTGAGGGAAGAGGGAAAATAAAAATAAAATAAAAAATAAATAAAAACAAAACAAAAGACCCAGAAAGATGAATAAAGGGACAGAAGGGGGAAAAAAAATAAAAAGGGGAGGAGGAGGTAGGTGGAGAGAGGGGCGGTAGAAGAAGAACCAGAGAGTGTTGTTGGTTAGAAATAAAAAGGAGAAAGGAAGGACATTTCAACAATCTCCCAGCACCACCCCACCTCACTGCCCACAGCAGCCGGCCCTGCTATGTCCCCGCCCTGCCCCCGGCTCAGCTGTCCTTCCCACTCTGGGCAGCCTGGCAGCCCACAGCACACTGCATTTATAGGAAACGGGTTAGTACTCGGCCTGGATCCACCTGCAGCCTGAGATGCTGAACTGGTGCCCCCTGCGCCCCGGATCCACCACCTCCACCCACACAGCCCTTTCTCAACAGGCAAATTGTGGGGACCGCCAGCAGGCACTCTGGCCCTCTGGACTAACGGAGTGGAGGAGGCCATGGCCCTCCGTGATTCCCTATCTTCCTATCCTCACATCGAGTCCCAAGGCAGTTCCAGAGAGGAGACCCCCACAGACCCACCTTCTTGGCCGACAGAGCCAGTTTTTTGGCTGGTGGAGGGGACATGAGGCTCGTGGGTTCGGTAGCGGTGCTGCTCAGGGCAGGGGACTTGAGCTTCACTGTCTTGGGATCGACTCCATTTAGCAGCGCTTTGGAATGGCCAGCGGGACAGTCTGTTCCCTGAGAATCACAGTAATGCGCAGCTCTGCCCTCGGGGGTCTGCGGGGCCTTGGCAGGGTCACTGCTGGCAGAGTGCTCAGGGCTTGAGTTGCTCGAAGCCCCCTTCTCCAGGTCCACACCATTGCCTTCCCCCTTCAGCCTGTGGCCATTAGCAAAGGCCTTGGCCAGGAGCTTTGGTGAGGTAGAGAAGATGGTGTCCCTGCTTGCCCAGGAGCCAGGCCGCTGGTTCCTGGCTTCACTGGTCCCAGGAGAGCCCTGAGAGGTGCTGGGGGGTGAGGTGAGGGACTGCGGGGGAGCTGACTTCTTCACCTTCTTTCCAGGCTCCTCCAGAAGGGTGGGCATGTGTGTGGGTGTCGGGGTGAGTCTTGGGGACGGGGACGCGCACTTCGGGCCTGGAACGGAGCCATTCCTGGACACGGGCACACCAACCTCCTCAGGGCACTGCAGCTCTTTCATCATCACCGAGTCTGGTCGCTGAAAAGCGAGAAAGGAAGTCACCAGAACCCAAGGGAGCACCGACCAGGGAATACCGCCAGCCCAAGCAGGCATCCCAGTCACGGCAGCCTCTGGGAGCAGACCCGGCTCTGGCTAACTGAAGACTTCCGGTGCCTCGGGGCATGTATAAAGACGAAGCAGGCCGCACTTTAAGACAGCACAGGGCTGCACTGAGATTTGGGAGAATGTGCCAAAGCCCCATCATGTGACACTGTGCTCCCTGGGTCTCCTTGCGCCCATTTGATCATCATGCCAAGCTAAACCGTCCTCACGGGTACGTCTGTCTCCAGTGTCTCACTGGGACCTATGCATCTCTTGACGGCTTACACAGGCTTGCATCATTTCCTAAGCCATGACAAACAAACAAACAAACAAACAAACAAACAAACAAAACATCTGGCAGTTTAGAAGTCATTTTTAAAAGTTCAAGAGGTCAATCTGAACCTCCTGGAAGTCAAAGGAACAAGGTTTGCGGGCTGGAGAGATGGCTCAGTGGTTAGAGCACTAGCTGCTCTTTTACAAGACCTGGATTCAATTCCCAGCAAGCACAGGTGGCTAACTATCTGTAACTCCAGCTCCAAGTAATGCAACGCCTTCGTCTGGCCTCTGTGGGCAATGCATGTACATGGTGCACAGACATGTATGCAGGCAAAACACCCATGCACAGAAAATAAAAACATACCTTTTAAAAGAGGAGGCATTTTCTTCTGCCACCTGAGTCCGCCCATCTCAAAGAACTGAGGCCCACAATGCCGCACGGCCAGCCTCCAGAGGGGTCTCTTTCACTGACCCCCCCTTACACACCCAGACAGAGCGGCCCCACCTCCTCCCCCTCCCCACTTCCCCTGCAGCCATGTACATCACTGGAAGCCGGCCTGTGCTCTGCCACAGTCTCGAGTCAAAATCTGGTTTCTGATACGCATTACTCAACGAAATAGAAAATCCCTGCCACATCCTAAGACCAAGGCCACATGAAAACAATCCCGTTCATAAACCTTTCATGGTGGCCACTTCCTGCTTGGGCACATATCTACCTGCATCTCTCCTCTCTGTCACCACAGTCCTTGCAGCTCATGCAAGACCTCACACATAGTCAGCACATCAAAAATAAACAAATATTAAAAACCAAAAAGATTGTAGCCCTTTCTGTACTCAACAGCAATGCTAATAATTTACCAGAAATGGGATTCCTGGGCCTTAGATTACCTTGTGAACTTCAACATATGTGGTCAAACTGCATTATTTCCTCTTTACTGGGAAGGTACACACATTTCTGCACACGGACATGGCAGTCCTTGGCGCCTCTCACTCTATCATCCCTACCCTCCACAGCAATCACTACCAACACGAGCTTCCTGGCGTCTGCTACCGTTCTTTGAGTGTGTGTGTGTCACAGGGGGAGGGGGGCACACTGGTGGGGGGAATTCTGGTGTTAGAACCCAGGGCCTCACACAGCTAAGTATACACTGACCACCAAGCAGTATCTGCAAAAGCCCCTGATTGGAAACATTTTAAAAATTTTACTGTTTTTTGTTATTTGTTTTAGTTTTTCAAGGCAGGGTTTCTCTGTGTAGTCCTGGCGGTCCTAAAACTCACTCTGTAGACCAGGCTGGCCTCAAATTCAGATCCTGCTTCCTCTGTCCCGAGTGCTGGGACTAAGGCCTGCACCACCACCACCTGACAATTTTTATCTTGTTTTGTATTTATTTCATTTTTACCTACAAAACTTTACATTTTACTTTAGCCAATTGCTACTTTTCCTACCAATTCAAAAGTTACAAAGCCTTCTTTCAAAGGTTTGATTACTTCTGTATTTATAATATCTTACTTTTACAAAGACTGTTTCCTGACAGGAACGCATCTCTGGTGAAATGATGCTGGGTGTGATGGCTTGAATCTACGATCGCTATAATACCAGCAGCCAGCAGACAGAGGCAGAAGGAACACTTCAAATTCAAGGCCAGCCCGGGCTACAGAGCGAGACCTGGTCCCTTCCCACCAAAGGCTGCTTTACAAAGTGCAGTATGGAGAGATGTGTGCTGTACCGGGTCACGCGAGTAAACCAGCCGTGCACCCGTGGTGGTACCCGCCATCGCTTCTGTGTGCCCACGCTTGCCTGCAAGTGAAGCTGCCCACAGAGCTGCAATGACCTCCACCTCTGCAGTGAAACCCCGTGGGTTAAAATGCACACGTCCACAGACGAGTGAGTTTCAGTGCTGTGTATATGTGAGCATGTCTGTGTGTGTATAAACACGCCTATGTTTCCACTCTGAACCATTTGAATAAACTGCAGACTTCGCATCCCTTTATCCATAGGCTTGTCTGTGTCTAACAACAGCAGGACATGGGCATTAACGGAAAGCACAGTGGGCGTTTGCCTGGGAGCCTGTCCTGCACTCCTGGGCAGCAGCTGAGCCCTGTAGCCCCATCTTTCCCCAGCCAAGGCAGTTGATAAGCACCGCCTACAAGTCCCCCCACCATGGCAGGGTCTCCAGAGGAGACCCCGAGCCTCTGAAGGACTCCAAGCAGAGCCTCCTCCACTTACACTGTACCTTTGGCATCAGCGGGGAGGAAATGAGCCCCCTGGCAGGGCTCTTCTTGGGGTGATCTGGGATGACACTGGGCCGACTAGGAAGAGTGGAGCCCACCCTGCACACAGGACCCTCAGGACTTTTCTTAGAGCCTGGAATTCTGCAGAGGAAAAAACGGGGTTGGGATTTCCTCATCATGCCAAGAATGCTAAACAAGGAAGTGCACCGGTGCCCAGCAGGCTTCCGGGACCGCCTTGCCCCTCTGCATCCCAGGCTGGACAGAGCCCCAGACATCCATCTGCCTGTGAGGACACACAGCCCTTCTAGAGCAGATCCTCAAGGAGCCAGGAAAACCAAAGAGCCCCAAATCTGTCACCCACGCTCAGCAGGTGGCACCAAGTGACAGGAAAGCTTCAGAATGGCAGCCTCTGCCAGGGGCTTCTTCCTAAGGTCTGCTGCATGCCAACCCCCAGTGTGACATGGGCCACTTCGCCAGAGGAAGTTGCCCAGGCTGTTGCCACACCAGGGCATAAGTAACAATTAGCTGCCCACTGCTGCAGGCAGTCAGAGTCCCCCACTGTCTCCCAGCTTTCACACCCACCAGGACCGCTTGGCTGAAGGGTCCTTCCCAGGGCACAGCCTGGGAATGGACTGCCCAAGCATTTCCTTTCCAGCAAATTCCCAGGAGCTTAAAGACAGGAAGGGGCCGCAGAAAACCCATGGCTCAGGCAGAACATGCTCTAGGGCACAGACAATTCTGGGGGGGGGGGGGGTTGGGAGGTGGGGTGGGGGGTCCAGGCCCTCACCGCAGGTAGAAGAGCACGTAGGCCTGCTGGTTCAGAACCACCTTGACGTTGCTGGAATGGACCAAGGAGTCATTCATCTGGTACCACTGTCCATTGCTAGCCTGAGCAGCAAGGGGAGAGGGATGGTTACAGAAAACAGCATCAACAGATGGGCCACCAGCTCAAACTCTCAGCCCCCAGAAAACCGGAATTACAAAGGCATGGTTTACCATAACCACTAGTAGACCTTAAACGACTCCTAAAGATCACATTTATACACTCATTTGTTGGGGGGAGGGGATGCGCATGTGCCCCAGCACAGGTGTGGAGGTCAGAGGACACATTAAAGGGTTAGATCTGCTCTCTCCCACTTTGTGGGTGTCTGGGACGGCACTCAGGGGGTGAGGCTTGGCAGTGGGCATTTTCGCCTGCTGAGCCATTCTGCTGGCCCCGTGACAATGGTGGAAGACACATCTTTTCTGGACGTTGGGGGGAAGGAGGGACAAAACACAAAGCTAAGCACTGCTGTTTCCCAGAAAACAAAACAAAACAAAACAACCAGGAAAGTGCAACAAACTCAGTTAGATTCTGTGGGCACTGGCCGATTCACCTGACACAGCACAAGCTCAGTCAGCCACGCCCAGCAGTCAGCCCGCCCAGCAGTCAGCCCGCCCAGCAGTCAGCCCGCCCAGCAGTCAGCCACGCCCAGCAGTCAGCCACGCCCAGCAGTCAGCCCGCCCAGCAGTCAGCCACGCCCAGCAGTCAGCCAGCCCAGCAGTCAGCCCGCCCAGCAGTCAGCCCGCCCAGCAGTCAGCCCGCCCAGCAGTCAGCCCGCCCAGCAGTCAGCCACGCCCAGCAGTCAGCCACGCCCAGCAGTCAGCCCGCCCAGCAGTCAGCCCGCCCAGCAGTCAGCCCGCCCAGCAGTCAGCCACGCCCAGCAGTCAGCCCGCCCAGCAGTCAGCCCGCCCAGCAGTCAGCCACGCCCAGCAGTCAGCCCGCCCAGCAGTCAGCCCGCCCAGCAGTCAGCCCGCCCAGCAGTCAGCCACGCCCAGCAGTCAGCCACGCCCAGCAGTCAGCCACGCCCAGCAGTCAGCCCGCCCAGCAGTCAGCCCGCCCAGCAGTCAGCCACGCCCAGCAGTCAGCCCGCCCAGCAGTCAGCCCGCCCAGCAGTCAGCCACGCCCAGCAGTCAGCCCGCCCAGCAGTCAGCCACGCCCAGCAGTCAGGTCAGCACTCACCTTCACATAGCAGTAGTAGTGCCCAGCATGGCAGCTGTACCCTGAGTGCACCAGCACAGCATAGAGCCCATACATGACAGGGTCGCCACTGCTCTGGGACATGTACGGGCGGATGTTCAGGAACTCAGGATAGCCAACGTCCTATTTAAAAAAGGAAAGCTACCAAGCATGCTCTCGGGAGAACAAGCGCCATATACGTCCATAACCTCAGAAATGTTTGCTTTGACCAATCGTCACTATGTGCCCCAGGGCAGACTCCAAGTCACTATGTCAGCCTGGCAACTTGTAACCCTTCCCATCTCCACCTCCCAGGTGCCGGGATTACAGGCATGTGTCCCAGACCCAGGCTCTTCTGTTTATATGGAAAAAAAAAAAAATCTCATAAACTGATGTTTATCTTATAAACTGTATGTATGTCTCTCTTATTGGTTGATGAATAAAACACTCGTTGACCAATAGCCAGGCAGGGAGCACAGGCAGGGTGACCACTGACCAGTGACCAGTGAGGGCTGGGGAGAGGAGGCAGAGAGGAGCCACAGAGAGGTGCCATGCTGCCGAACAAGTATCGTGCTGGATTACGGGTAAGCCACAGCTTCATGGCAATACATAGATCAATAGAAATGGGTTAACAATTAAGACAGAGCTAGGCAGTAAGAAGCCTGAGCCATCAGCCAAACATTTATACTTTTTTTTTAATTTTTTTTTTTTAACAAACATTTATACTTAATATAAGTCTTTGTGTGTTTATTTGGGGCAAAGTGGCTATGGGACCAGAAACCTCCATCTTCAACAAACCAATTTGTATACAATAGACTCATAGCCCTGATCCAACTTTGTTACAATACAGACTCTTCAAATTCTTTTTTTTTTCAAGACAGTGTTTCTCTGTGTAGCTTTGGAGTCTGTCCTGGCACTCTGTAGACCAGGCTGGCCTTGAACTCACAGAGATCCGCCTGCCTCTGCCTCCCGAGTGCTGGGATTAAAGGCGTGTGCCACCACCTCCCGTGACTCTTCAGATTCTACCAGACCAATGGTTCACACAGTGGAGTTGTCTGAACTAATGCCCAGGACTCACAGGAGCCCGGAGTCCTCAGGAAACCCCACAGCTCTTTTCCACCAGCCGTGTGTGCATGTGCAGCTCAGGGGGCTTCTCCTGGCTATGAGCATGGCCCGGCACTCCTGTGGAGGCCGGAGGACAAGTTTCAGAAGTCAGGTCATCTGGCTTGGTGGTAGGTGCCTTTACACACGGAACCATCTCACTACCCTACGCAACTATAATAAATCCTCCAAGAGAGTAAAGACTCCATAGAGCGGGGCTGGAGAGATGGCTCAGAGGTTAAAAGCACTGTCTGCTCTTCCTGAGTTCAATTCCCAGGCCCCCATGGTGGCTCGCAACCATCCATAGTGGGATCTGATGCCCTCTTCTGGCGTGCAGGCATACATGTACACATAATTAAACAAACAAATCTTAAACAAACAAAAAAAAAAGACTCCATAGAGCTTCTACAGCCAGGAGGTGGTGGTGGTGGAACCTTTAATTCAACACCCGGGAGGCAGAGGGCAGGAGGGTCTCTGTGAGTCTGAGGACAGCCAGGGGAGAGATGGCTCAGGACTCAAGAGCACTGGCTGCGCTTGCAGAGGACCCAGGCTCACGACTCTCGGCACCCACACAACCATCTGTAACTCCAGTTCCAGAGAAATCTAACACTGCTTCTGGCCTCTGAGGACACCAGGCTTACAAGTGATGCACAGATAAAACATAGACACAAAACCACAATTTTAAAGAAAGAAATGCAGACTTCCAGGCTCTCCCCCCCTTGCAGAACAGCCTGGACGTCAGCAGGGGGCGCACTCACCTTGGTGATCTTGCCCCCGCTGAAGTTGGCAAAGCGCTTGAGTGACAGAGTTAGGACATTGGATGTTCTGTGGATGGTGAAGCGCTTGCTGGCCGGAACCTTCTTCTTACACCTACAAAAGCGAACGGAAAAGCTGTCGGTGTGCTCGGCAGCTGTAACAGCAAGGCCTGTGCCTACCGCATCTAGAACCAAAACCCACACGCTCTAGGCTGGACAGTCACAAGTCCCAGAGCAAGAAGACCCGCTCGACAGGAGCCTGAGTGACAGGTGCAGAAGACTCTGTGAAAGACAAGAGCCCGCAGCGGCAACGTGGCCACGCCCACACAGGAGCGGAAGCACAGCAGAGCTGAACCAGAAATGGGCAGGGACTACGACGAAGGACAGTCTCATCCCGAGCCAGGGCAAGCAAATTTAGAGGGAAAAAAACCAAAAAGCGCAAGGTAGCCAGGCATGGTGGCGCACGCCTTTAATCCCCGCACTCGGGAGGCAGAGGCAGGCGGATCTCCATGCATGAGGCCAGCCTGGTCCACAGAGCCAGTTCCAGCACAGCAGAGCTACATGGTGAATCTTGGTGTCAAAGCAAATGCCCAACGTGGCGTTGCTGGCCCTTCGCCCCAGTTCTCGGGAGGCACAGCAGGTGGATCTGTGAGTGTGAAGCCACTCAGCGATACACAGTGAGATCCTGCCTCAAATCAAAAATTAGAGAACGGTGCAGTGACGGGGACCCTGAGAAGCAGTGCAGGAACTTCTGCTGGCTGCAGCTTTAAAATGACCCCCATGCCAGCACCCCAGGGTGTGCCTCATGAGGACAACTGTTTGCACCGAGACACAAAGATGACCTGACCCCTAAACGCAGGAGCTGCACACAGGCCTCATGGGGTGGAAGGGTGGAAGGCCTCCGTTGTGTCATCTGAGGGGCACCAGCGATCAGACCCTGTGCCCTTCTATGACAGCTTCCTCCATAGACACTCTTCTTAAACACGCTAATACACGCGGAGCCTCTGTTCCACAGGTGCTGGGCGAGCAGCAGCCATGGGCAGGTGCTATGGGCCTGCTGGTGGGCCGGTGCCGAAAGCCAGATGAGGACACTTAGGAGTGTGAGCTGCGATCCTCCCTGAGGGGTCAGGCGACTGTTTATGCTGCCCCGAACAGTCACTTTCTTGCAAGCAAATGACACTTACTTAGCACACATATAGGCGTTCTCTCCGCTCAGGACATCTGGTTTCACAAAAAGTTCCAGCGCGCGCACGATATTTGCAGCTTGCTGAGGAGGACGGAAATGGAACAGGATGAGCAGCAAAAGAAAAAAACCTGACTCCAGAAGTCCCAGATTTAAGGTCTTCTCAGGCTGAGGCAGCAAGTGATAAAACCTGACTTGCATAAAAACTGGCCTTGCTAACCCACCCCACCCCCACCAGAGGAGCAAGAAGCAGACAGTGCCCTCTCTAGAGGTGACAGGTGATAGCCATGTGAGATCTTTCACTGTGACTGCAGCTGAGGTGACTCAGAAACTCAAGGTCCCAGCAAAGGCAAGCATAGGCTGACAACAAAGGGGAATAACGGGTGTCCCCTCCAGAGGCTGTCCCCAGCGTGTCCCCAGCTGTGAGGCACTGTCCCGCCACCGCTGATGCCCCGGAACACAAAACTCAGTTTTCCTTTTCACTCTCTGACTGGAAGGAATTCACATAGGCAAAAGGCTAGACGCCACAAACGTTGGCTTCTCCGTGCCAGGTGCAGCAGAGGCCGCAGGAGAGCCCAGTGCCCGGATCCACGTCTGCTCTGACCCACACCCTTCTTGCTCGTCCCCCTTGCTGGCCTCCCTCTCGTCACCCCCAGGCCCACAGGTCACTGCCCAAGCGTACCCGAATCTCCAGGGCTATGTCCAAGTAGGGGTCGTATGTGTCTGAGACGCTCTTGCACAGAGAGCACTTCACTGTAACAGAACAGAGGCAGTGGGCAGCGGACCCAGGAGAGCACCACCCACCGGGTCTGCACACCTACAACATTCAGCGCAGCTCTCACAAAAGGTGACTGCACAAAAGGTGACTGTCCCATTAACTGGAGACACACTGATGGGTCATGCCAGGCTCTCTCATCAGGCCTGGCCTGCCTGTCTGCCAGGCCACTGCGCAAGCCTTCTGCAGCAGAGCACAGGCCTCCCCGCAAGGACAGAGGAGAGCTCACATCACCTCACACACTTCTCCCATCCCTCAGCGGGCAGGGGTAGCCAGGCAGAAAGACCAGGCCTGGGACCTCCAGCCCCTACCATGTGCTCATGTTCTCACAGCTAGGGGCACGCCTGATCTACCTGGGATGCTGAGGACTTCCTGGCTCAATGTGCAGACCTGCTTAGCCAGGGAGGGGAATACATCTGCTCACCTCGGGACCTGAGATAGCCTCCAAAGATCTGATGCACCAGAGTAGTAGCCTGTGTCTGCCGATCCAACCTAAAAGGAAGCCACAGCCGTGAAGAGGACAGTACAGTACAGCACAGCGAGGCGCGCTATTCAGCCAGCACCCCCACCCCTCCAGGGGCAGGGTAAAAAGGGAACATTCGGGATATCCACCCCCAAGCCCCAAACTATGAGCAGTGAGGTCTATGCCACGCCAGAAAAAGCAGTCAAAGCAAGACAGCATGGTTCGCGCTGCCCGGTGCTAGCAAAGGAGTAAAGACTCAGGCAGCTTCGATGTATGCACGGGTGTTCTGCACTGAAAATGGCTACAGACGGAAAGGGAAACCCTGTCAGTGAAAAGCAGCCCCAGGGGCAGGGAAAGAGTGGCAACCAGGTCTAAACTGAACTAAACAGCCAAGGCACAACATCCCGAGCAGAAAACTTCAGATAAACAAACACACGCTAAAGACAAAATACGATAAAACATGGAACTACTTTTGGGTTGGCGAGAAGGCTCAGCGGTTAAGAGAGACTGGCTGCTTTTGCAGGGGACCCTGGTTCTGTCCCCAGCACCCATGTCATGTGGCGGCTCACAACTGCCTGTAACTCCAGTCCCAGGGACCTGACAGACTCCTCTGGACTCCATGGGAACCCTCACACAAGATATTCACTCACAGAAACGCACAAAAATAAATCTGAAATAAAGACACACCAAGGCATGATGGCGAACATCATAATCCCAAAAGGATCAAGAGATCAGGGCCACTTAACACCCTGTCTCAAAGAGAAAAAAGGACCAGCACCCCGGAGGCTGACAGGTAGAGATCCAGATCCCTGACTACCAGGCCAACCTGATCTACACCAAAAAAAAAAAAAAAACAAGAGCCTGTCCGGGTGAGACCGGACCTGGGCCTACAGACAGGAAAGCCATCAGACACCATGGCTGTGCTAAAATGTCACACAACTAACGAGACACCCTGCAAAGCAGAGCCAGCAACACAGACAGCAGCCGGATCACAGCAGACAGCCTCACAGGGTGAGCGCCACTTCTGTTAGTCACATCACCTCCCACAGACGCCCCGGGAGCACGCGGCCACAAGGCTGGTCCTGAGGCAGTGCACCTCCCGCCAGTGAGCAACAGCCCCGTCCATGGAGAGCCTGCTGCACAGAGTATCCACAGCCCCACATGGGGCTAAACAGTGCAAGTGAGCTGCCATGCTGCTGGACTCCTGCCCTGGGAAATGAGGCAGCAGATCCAAGAGCCCGAGGCCAGGACACAGACCCTGACTAAAACACCAGAAACAAAACAAACCCACTCAGCACCAGACAGCGTAAGATCAGTAAGAACGGTAAGTTTTCACGTGCTCTTTTCCTCCATGCTTTCATTTTCAGAAAGTGTGAGCTCCTACCTCCCTTCTCCAAGTGTGAACCCCTCCTTATCCAAGTGTGAATCCCCTTCCTTCTCCAAGTGTGAACCCCTCATTCCCTAAGTGTGAACCCCCTCTTTCCCTAAGTGTGAACCCCCTTCCTTCTCTAAGTGTGAACCCCTCATTCCCTAAGTGTGAACCCCTCATTCCCTAAGTGTGAACCCCCTTCCTTCCCTAAGTGTGAACCCCCTCTTTCCCTAAGTGTGAACCCCCTTCCTTCTCTAAGTGTGAACCCCCTCTTTCCCTAAGTGTGAACCCCCTTCCTTCTCTAAGTGTGAACCCCCTTCCTTCTCTAAGTGTGAACCCCCTTCCTTCCCTAAGTGTGAACCCCCTTCCTTCCCTAAGTGTGAACCTCCACAACCTTCTCTAAATGTGAGTCCCCATCCTTCTCTGCTTCAAAGTAACGACGTGGTTTTGGAGAGACTGGACGAGTTCACAGCTCCAGGTGAACTTCTGAAGACATTTCTAGAGTCCTTCCCCTCAGCAGAGCTTAACAGTCCAGGTTATAGAGCACCGGGTAGTCAGATGCTCGGGCGCCAACACGAACACCTTCTCAGAAGATGGCCCAGAGGGGAGGCTGGCCATGTCCACAAGCATGCTGTGCTGCCCCAACATAAAGGTGTCCTCAGACAGGCAGGCCGCGTGGGGGTGGGGCTCATACTTAGCATAGCCGTTCAGGCAGGCCTTCTGCATGGCATCGATGGTATACCGCAGGAACTCGTGCGCATCCTCTTGGTTCCCGAAGCGGAAGTGCCGGGCGATCTCTGGGGGAAGAAGGAGGGAAGGATGCACGCTAGGTCAACTGCTGGAGAGGGACACTTTCCCAAGTGTCATTGTGTCACAGTGCGACAACCTTTCCGCCACGTGACTAGAAGGCAGGGTCCCAACGGCACACAGCAGCTGGCTCCTCTGATGCCATCAGCACATCCACACCCCCCACCCTCACCCCACCCTGCTTTCAATGCTCACCTGCTCTCCACCTGGCTCAAACCTAACTACTCTTCCAAGCAGTGCCTAGCAGAGAGCCTTCCTTCGGTGAAACACGGCCCACGTGTCTGCACCAGCTACCACGGAAGGGTCGGCAGCACTGCATGGGACACTCCACACACAGGGATTCCTGACACTTCATTCATGGGTTTTCTCCTCCTTCCTCCAAGCACAGAGCTAGCACTTGGCAGACACTCAACCACAAACCCATCCTTACTTTTCAGGTCTCTGATGAAGGAAACAGGCTTGATGGCATTGCCGCTGTTGGCAAAGGCCTGGACCATGTGGTTCTGCATGACACACAGCATGCAAAAGCTTCCTTGGTGACCTACAGTGGGCAAGAGGCAACTTTAGACAGTTCATAGTAACACCACCCCACCACGTGCAGAGGGAAAGTAACCCGGACGGTGGGTGACAGCAGACAGGTTCAACGGAAGCTTACTTATGGACTCCCAAGCCACGGACCGGATGGCCTGCCTCCTGCTCTATGTGAACACGCTGGTTTCTCATTAAGACACTACACTGGAACAGGACACATTCCTGCTTTGAAACTGACTTTTTAAATAGAGATTTGGAAAGAATATGACCTCACCCTGCTTCAACTCTAGCTTTGGGAGTCTGTTAAGTGAAACACTGATTATCACAGTACAACTCCTCAGTCCTCACCCATGGGAACCTTGACCTTGGATTAGGCATGACCGATCCAATCTGTGTGCTTACTGTAACACAGAAACAGTATCATCACAGCCGAAGGTTAACAGGCTCACAAGGCATGCGGCTACACCACACACTTGCAGTTTGCTTCCCTAACGTCCACACCGCTCACCCAACTCCTTTCCCCAGCCACATAGCTGGAACATTCCACAACTGACAGACAGATCTGCTCGTGGTACCCACCCCTAGCATTTTCATTCCCCCCACCAGAGTCTCTGGATCAAAAGAACCGGCCAGCTTTGTGAGGACTCACGTTACAACTCTGAATCTTGGTCACCTGGTACAGGTTAGCTGACATCAGCCCTGGCAGGCACACCTCCAATTCTGTGACAGCCCCTGAACATGCTGTTTCAAGCCCAACTTGTCACACAAAATCCAACCCAAACCAGTTTGTCCCTCTCTCTCAGGAGCTGAGACCAGCGTACTAAGCCTTCCCCAGAGCGCTGGCCGTCGCTGGGTGGGTAGGTGCTGTTCACGAGGCAGGTGGCCCACAAAGATGACACTGTCTACAGCTACGGAACGCCATGCCTGCCAACACCATAGCTCAGTAAGCTGTGCCAGGTAACCGGGATGCAGTAACTACGCCAGCCCACAAAGTTGACAAATGGCTGGGAAAGACCCCCGTGGAGCAGTGAGAAATGGAGGAAGACTCTACAGGGAAAGAATGGATGAGGAGCGAACAGAAAAAAGCACTTATGTAAGGCTTGGGTGGGAAGATCTTGCCACCAAGACCATGAGGCCAAGACGACAGTCTGAAAACAATCACAGCCCCTCCACACCCTCCCGCCTGAGTTATTCTTAGCAGCGCTACAGACTGAACCACAGACCCTGTAACGATGGACAAGGGCACACTCACTCCTTTAAGTAACAGGATGTCCTTGAACTCATCCTGCAACCCAACGTGATGTTAACGCCATGCCTAGTCCCCATCCACTTGCCTCTGGATCCGGCCTGACCTGATCCTAACTGTCTAACCACCACCCTCCACCCGTGACTGTCTTCCTTCCTTCCTCTCTTCTTTTTAATCCTGACACATGATTTCTGTGTAGCTCTGGCTGCCCTGGAACTCGCTCTGTAGACCAGGCTGGCCTCGAATTCACAGAGCTCTGCCTGTGTCTGCCATGGGTCACCACCTGGCCATTCTTTTCTTTCTTTCAACTTTCATTACCTACGGCCTTGGGACACGCCTAGCAGGTGAGTGTGCTTGCTGTGAAAGCAAGGGACCCTGATTTCACAGCTGCAGCCCTCATGCTGGCCATAGCCACCTATGCCCCAAATACCAGCCTTGCGGGCACCAAGACAGGCAGACCGATCCCGGGAGCTTGCCCACCTAGCGAGAGCCTGGTTCAGTGAGCAATCCTGCCTCAAAAAACAAGGTACAGAGTGAGAGACATTCAATATACCCTGGTCCTCTGCACATGCTTGCTCATCTGCTTGTGCATGTGAACACACACACACACACACACGCGCGCGCCCGTGTGTTTTCTCTGCAGCTTTCTTGTCCACTGAACATTATGTTACTAAGGTTCACTGAGAAGTTGAAATATACTTATACGCACTGCTATTGTTGTTGTTAAGGTTATTTATTTTTATTTTATGAGTAATGGGTATTTGGTCTACATATGTCTTTCTGTATCATGTGTACTCTGGCTGCCCTTAGACGTCAAAAAGGAGTGTCAGATCCCCTGGAACTGCAGTTACAGATGGCTGTGAGCCACCATGTACTTGCTGGGAATTGAACTCAGGTCCTCTGCAAGAGCAGTCCAGGCTCTAACCACTTAGCCACTTTATATGTGAGACGAATTCAGCTTCTTAGGGTTGCTTTTTAATACAAAAGAATTTCTCAAAAAAAAAAAAAAAAAAAAAAAAAAAACCTTATGTACATGTATGTGGGTTTGGTGACTTTTACAGGAATACTGTTTTCTTTCTGTTTTTGCTTGTTTGTATTTCAAGATAGAATTTTACCATGTAGTCCTGGCTGGCTTGGCACACACTATGTAGACCAGGCTGACCTTGAACTGCCAGATCTGCCTCTGCCTACCAAGAGCTGGGATTGAAGGCGTGAGCAGCCATGCCTGGCTGGAACACTGTTTTGAGAGCACCCCCCTCTCCTAACAGTCGTAGACAGAGGTGGTCATGTGTCCACCCACGCTCCACTGTCCATGACTGCATATTCGTACAAGGTCACCATCTACAATGACACGCACTGCTTTCTGCGCACGATCAGAAGGGAAAGGCCCTTCTGCTACCCTAAGGTTTCGCTGTCATCACCTTCCAGTTCAGGTGAGCACCCTCCTTCACCCCTCCACTGTAGTGGCTTCTTGACCACCCAGACAGGAAAACTCACAGCAGCCTGTGCCCAGTGACGTCACACCAAGCCTTTGACAGAATTCATCTCACCCTTATAATTCTGTGTGGAAGTCAGTATTATTCTGTAAAGCAGGGAAAGGAGGCAGAAGAAAGGCGTAGAGCATTCTAGAGACACAGCTGTTTCGCAGCAAAACTGGGGCACAGGCGGGCGGAGGCTCTCAGCTTGCCAAGCCCACAGCACCTGTGGGAGGCTTTCCTACACTGTGCCTGTGCTCTCAGGGGGAATCCAAGTTTCTCCAGATGACTTCCACAGCTGCCCAAGATGCTTTCGTTTTAGCTAACAAGTCCAGAGCAGCTCCTTAGCAAGGCAGGGCGGTGACAAGCTAGTGAGTGTCGTTCTGTTCACTAGAAGAGCTACTGAAGGGATAACGAGAACTAGCTCTGCTAAGCCCCAGCTCCAGCTACTTCACCCCATTTTAACTTCTACTTGGGGCACGGTTTGCGGTGCATATGAAACACACTGGCTCAGTACACACATAAAATAGTTGGAACAGACACTGTGTGGAGGCGTCTTTGAAAAACCCCTCTCATTAGAGAGCAAGACCCTGCCTCAGTGAGACCCACACAAGGCCCATCCTAGAGCAGGCGAAATTTCGCCGTGTTCTACAGCTTCTCTCCAACCCTCAGACACGTGGCGTGACGGTCCCTCATGCTCAGGGTTCACCTAGCTGCTGCTAGTGAGGAGACCGCCTGTGTCAGCTGACTCCCAGCAAAGCCCCCCGGGAAGCCCCACTCACAGCTCCGAGCGTGATCCTTGGAGAGCAGATAGTTGGCCAGAGGCGGCGTGTAGGTCAAGCACTGAATGGTGGAGTTCAGGAAGCACGTGTTACCCAGGTTGTGCAGCCCTGCACCGACGCGGAAAACGCGCTCCCACCTTAGCGACAGTCTCTCCGTAGGGAAGAGCACTTTCTGTGGGGCAGGGACTCCGTCACCTCCGCTTCCAGACACACGCTCGGTGCCTAGAAGAGAAAGATGAGACCAGATCATCCCCAGGGACCTTCCACGCTCAGTCCAGAGCTCAAGCCCCGTGGTCCCAGCTCTGTGACACACTGCACACACCAAGGAACGCACCCCACTTCCGGACTTCACACCCACTTATCCCCCCCCCCCCACTGTGTGTAGGTGTACACGACAGTAAAATGACGCGTGTTGTGTCGGGGTCACAGGACAATTTTGGGAGTCGGTTCTTCACTGTGCACGGTGCTGAGGTGGAGCGTGCCCTGCTGCAGGCTATCTGTGCCTGAGCCCCCCGCTCCCCTCCTGTCTCCTCGCCGTCTCACCGCAGCACCCAAGCCTGGCTAACTGTGCGGGTCCAGTGGCATGCTCACGGAGCTAATGCTTCCACTGGCTGAGCCCTTTCCTTAGACCCGGGACCTGCTTTCTGGTGCACAGATGTTTTCCTGCTCACCCTGTGTCATGACATCCATACCATAGCCCACTGACTCCCGAAAGCCCAAAACCATTGCGGCTGCCAGCTCAGAGCTATCGGCTGGAGTCCAAACGCAGCCTCAGCACCTGGTTTCCTGGCCTGCAGCTCATCTCTGCTCTTGTGGTGACTGGCTCCCTCCGCCCTGGAGTTCAACAGCACATATTTGCTCTTCAAGGACTCCAGCTGGTAGGAGAAGCTTTTGCTGGCAGGTTCAAACTCAATCCTCTGCAGAAGGACCTTCTTGGCAGACGCAGCCAGCAGCTTGCCCAGGTCCCCATCTTCCGCTGAGTCCTTGCGGCCAGGCTTGAGGGCCTCCTTCAGCTTATCGACTATCGGCATGGTGCATTCCTGTGGGGGTGGAAAGAACCCCATCCCCATAAACAGCTACATCCCAGGACGAGCACATGACTTCTGCTCGCTCACTACACACAGCAGCCATCAGGACAGGGGCAGCCAAGGCAGAACAAGCAACACTGTCTGTGGCAATTGTCATAATTACCTGAGACTATTTATAAAATAGCGGACGGCTAACTCTCACACACTCTGCTTACAGGCAACAGATGTGAAAAGTGAGCTTGGGGGGGGGCTTAGAGAGACGGCCCTGTCACGTACTGCAAAGGGCCCAGTGCAGTTGTCAGCACGCATGCCCAGCAGCTCACACCGCTTATAGTCAGATCCAGGGGATCCAATACCCTCTTCTAGAATTCACAGGCACTTACACTCACGTGTACATAAGCACCCCTATGTATAATTAAAAATAAACATAAAAAAGGGAATCTTGGCTGGAGTAGCCTACACACCAGCACTTGGGAGTCAAATCCATGTGGACCTCAGGGAGTTGGAGATGAGCCTGCTTTACAGAGCTCCAAGCCAGCCAGCCAGGGATACATAGTGAATCTCTCTCACAAGACTTATTTATTTTTCTTTACGTGTATGGGTATTTTGCCTGCATGCATGCCTGGTACAACAGATCCCCTGGAACTGGAGTTACAGACAGTCGTGAGCTGCCATGTGGGTGCTGGGAACTGAACTCAGGTTCTCTAGAAGAGCAGCCAGTGCTCTTAACCAAAGAGGCAACTCTCCAGCCCCAGAGAGACCAGCTCTTAAACAAAACAAAAACCAACCATGTACACAAGTGCATGCACTCATACACACACACACACACACACCAGCATATGAGTCAGATGACCAGGGATGTGTGCACAGGCCTCTCTCTATGCTCATCTGCAGAGGCCAGGGGCTGAGAACTACAAAGATTACCATCAGATTTCCACGGCCTACTTTGAGAAAACAATGCAAGGTATCCCCGTCTTTCACCTGGCACGTGTTGAAATGACAAAAGCTTACATAGATTGGTTCAGATAAAATATATGGTAAAAATCAACTTTACTTTTTAATTTTTCTAATGTAGCTGCTGTGAACTTTGACCTTGCATTCGGCCATTCTGTTTCTACTAGGCAGAGCACGTACAGAGTCTCTCTTAGCTGGGCATAGCTGCTCTATGTTGGCTTACTCCCAGCACTTGGGAGGTTGAGGCCTTTTGAGAATTCCAGGCCAGCTTGGGCTACAGAGTACGACCATGTCTCAGTCAGACACTCAGACACACACATACACACAATCTATCTCTGAGTGACAGCAGGGACCCAGGCTCCACGCTTGGATTCTGACTGGGAAGGTGGCTGCAGAGGTTAGGCAGGACGCCTGCTGCGCAGCAGTCCCAACAGAGCACAGACTGCCAGGACAGCAGCAGACACTGTAAGGAGGATGAGCCCCCAACATCCAACCGCCACACCCGTACCCCTCCTGCCTCTCCACCCACTTGGCCACCATTACCTGTTGGAGTCACATTTTACAAAGATCCATCTCTGAAACTGCTCACTCACATGGGACATATGGTACCCGCTACCCTGACTATCTGAGAACCAGCTACACAGACCTGGGGTGCACGGGTACCCCAAAACAAATAAAATTAACACCAAAACCCAAACGAGCAAGGGCCAGCCCTCTAACACAAGAGCCACAAACCCTTCTGTGGCGGGGACTCACCAGACTTTACCCACAGGACGGCCCCTGCCAGGCTCCGGTCGCGGGAGGAAACAGACACAAGGAAAGCTCCGGGGCTTACCTGGGGTGTCGGAGCCTGGCTGCTGCTTCGCTCTGCCGCAGGGAATCAGATTCTCAGGGGAGGGACGGCGCTGACCCGGCAGGTGCTGCCCGGGACTCCAGCCTGCCTGGTCACCAACACGGCCAAGTGCAGAGTCCAGAAGAGGCACCAGCACCTGGAGGATGAACAGTGACCCGCGGCTGGCTTCTCCTGCTGCCTCCGAAGTTGCTCTCTTGTGTGAACTGTGGCCTTGTACCAGCAAAGCGGCATCACTAAGGCACAAGGAAGCCAGGCGCAGAGATGCATGCCTGTAATCCCAGTTCAAGAAGTGGAGGCAGGAGGATGGAGCATTCAAGGCCAGCCTGGGCTATGTGGTAAAACTTAAGAAAGAACAAAAAGCAGACTCTGCGCTGAATTCAGTGATCCAGAGGGCAACTGTGCTAACAGATCACTAAATTCACGACAGGAGCACGCTGCCCTCTACTCTACGTCATAATCTCCTCACGCTTTTCACTCCCATGGGGCAACTCCTGTCTGAGTATCACGTCCAAAGATTATGGAGGCAACATCTCAAACTTTTCTGATATCACTAGGCAGTTTTTTTTTTTTCTCTTTAAGAAAACGATGAGATGTTTACTTTCCTAACTATAAACCCTGTCTTCGATTCCCATCTACAGTCAACCTGACCACATAAAGGCATTTTCCAGCTTCTCAAGCACACACAAATAAGGACGGCACAGTCAGCACAATGTACCATTCATTGATGGGCTTAACGACCGACCGGCTGCCGAATCTTGCCTGGTTCACCTCCCCATGCCCAGGTTCGGTTCCAGAGTGCCTAGGAACATCGGTCATCCGCTCCATCTAACCAAGGCCCCTACCCCGACAGAGTTATTCTCAAGCGGCAAAGGGGAGAGAGACAGCCTGCCTTCTGAAACTCCATCAACGTCACTTCCAAAATCACTCATACGAAGCTTCCCACGGGGAGGTGAGAACTTTGTCTTGGCCTAACATGGCCCAAGGATGACCAAATGGGAACGTAAACCCAGTCATGTGGCATAAGCACCTTACCCTTAAGTCAGGTTCACTCAGTCAGCATGATTTCTGAAGTAATGGCAGGAAACTCTATACGACTACCAGGAGCCAAGAAAAATGCTGTTCTTGTGATTCCCATCTGATGTGTTCGCCTATCCAGGGCCTTTAAGGTCTAGGATACTGTGTGCCCTCAATTTACACATCTAATTCTGAACTCGAGACTGACTCCTCCATTCAGACAGACACCACTTACACAAGGCATTTCCCTCTTCTTTTCAAAGTGTTTCCCGAGAAAACCTCACTGAAGACTTACGGGGTCAATTATATGCCGGAGGGGGACGGGCAGGGCTGGGGCCTCCGAGGCTCCCCCCTCCCCCTCAGCAGAGCGTTTCGAGCCAGGCACAGTAGAACTACATACTCGTCTCCTTGGCGCCCATTGCTAAGCCAGGCTATGAAGATGCCGGCGTACATGCCTCCCCATTTTAGGACACTAATCTAACCATCTCCATCCCTAAGGATACCGCACGGACACGGACGCAGGCAGGCAGGCAGGCGCGCGCGCTCACACGCACACCAAAGGCAATGGGCACCTTGGTTAGAATTCTGTCCTGCTAGTACAATCCGATACGGATGCGCGGTAAGGATCTGTCACCGTCCCGGACTTCAGCTCTGCCTGGCCACCCTGGGCTCTGCAAGCCCGGGGTCACCCAGACCCCTGCGGTCGCCAGTTCCGGAAGAGCCCCGGGATGCAGAGCGACTGATGCAATTCCCGGGCCACGCTAGGGCTCGCGGGCTCCGCTCGCACCCCCTGTCCCTCCCCCGGTGTCCACGTCCCCCGCACCGCAAGCGTCCGCAGAGTTTCCCTACGCCGCGCGCATCCCGTCCTCCCCGCGGAGCGGGGCGCCCGCGCCGGCCACGCACCTGTCAGCCTCCGCCCGAGCCCCCAAACCCCACGGGTGGGAGCGCGCACCCCCGCCCGCCCTCGGTCGTCCCAAGCCCCGCGGAAGCACCTGCGCTCGCCGTCCACCCCGCAGGCCTCTCAGGCCCGCGCAGCAGCAGCGTCCGCTCCGGCCCCGGCCCGCACGCGCACCATCCGGGCCTCCGGAGCCTCAAACACGTGTCACCGCGGCCTTTAAAGGAGCCGCACTGCGGGCTGCGTCCCGGGGCCGCGTGCAGAGGGCCCGGCACCTTTAAGGGGCGGGGCTAAGCCCGAATCCTTCCCCCTGGGCCCGCCCCCCTCCGCTCCTCGTGACGCGCACGTCACCCCTACCGCCCGGCCGCCCGGCCAGTCTACGCGATGACGCAAGCGCGCAGAGCTACAAGCTCCGGAAGCACCCGGCGGCGCAGAGACCCTGCCGCGGCCTGGCGCGGATCCCGCGGAGGAGGTAGGGTGACGTCACTTCCGCCCGCGCGCCCGATGCCGCGAGTGCGCAAGCCCAGTGAGCTGGACGGTGGGAGGGCGGAAGCTGGGTGCCGGCTGCGCCCGGGGCTGGTGGCTCTCTGCAGGGTGAGGCTGCTGCGGGCCTCGCGGCAGAGGGGAGCAGCGCCGCGGTGGCCGCAGGCTCGGTGCGAGCCTGGCCATGCTGAGTCTTTTGGGATCTCACCATTTCTTAACTTCTTGGCTGCTGGTGTCCTTCTGCAAAAAAACTAGCAAGCGATGAGGCCCGGGGTTCCGTCCATCACTTGATGCAATTCTGAGGGGTGGAGGCGGGGATGATCAGAATTCAAAGGTCGTCCTTGGGATACACGGTATTCTGTCTGTAGATAAATAAATGAAGCAAAAGTTAATCCGTCCTCTTTAGTGGCTGAGATTGTTTGATCATGCCGAATGTGTTATCCTGAACCACATAGGGGAATCTTGTCTTAAAATATAAAATCCTGTTAGCCTATGCCCATGTCTAGCCATAAAAATGCCACCTTTAGAGCTAGAGAGATGGCTTCGAGGGTGTGTTCTTGCCCAGGACTTCACAGCGCCCACATAGTGGTTCACAATCTCCTGTAAAGCCGACCAGCAGGATCTTTTGACCTCTAAGGGACACCTGCAAAATATGTCATACACACACATAAAAAGTAAAGAAAAAAATGTTCTCTTAATTTTGTTTTTTGAGACAGGATTTTCTCTGCGAAGTCCTGGCTGTCCTATAAGTCTCATCTGTAGACCAGGCTGTCCTCGAACTCACAGAGATCCACCTGCCTCTTCCTCCCGAGTGCTGGTATTAAAGGGGTTCACAACCCCTGGCCTTTTCTTGATTTTTACAAAAGATATAACTTTATTGTTCTAAATTATGTCTGTGTTTCTATGTGAGTGTAGATGCTAATGGAGACCAGAGAGGTCCCAACCCCTCTCAGCACTGGAATTACAGGCAGCTCTAAATTGTGAGCTGTCCAATGTAAGGGCTGGAACCAAGGCCTGGTACTCTGTAAGAGAAGTATGAGCTATCAACTGTTGAGCCATCTCTCCAGTCCCAGAATGATTTCTTCTGTCCTCTGATCACTCCCTGTCCCCTGGCTGGAGCTGACGCTAAGCCTGGAGACGATGAATTGCTGCTTTTGCTGTCTGGAGCTTGCTGCAAGCCCAGACACTGTTTCCCCCTGTTTTCTGGGTGCTGGTGGGCACCTGGCATGAGATCTAGGTTTTTATCCAGACTTTGCCCTAATAAGCCTATTGCTTGGGATATTTCTCTTACCCAGGGCTTGCATTTTCCTCTCTCTCTCTCTCTCTCTCTCTCTCTCTCTCTCTGTGTGTGTGTGTGTGTGTGTGTGTGTGTGTGTGTGTGTCAGGATGGGAGGGTGCTTCACCTAGAGCCGTAGTTCTTAATCTTCCTAACGCAATGACCCTTTAATATACTCCTCATGTGGTGACCTCCAACCATAGAATTATTTTTGTTGCTGTTTCACCCAGAGGGACAAGTTTGTTGTAAAGCTTTGGGGAAAAGATGTGTTGACAGAGTAGTAATGTTATTGCTCAAAAGTTGCTTGGTGAGCAATCTGCCTTGGAGGTCAGGGCAAACAGGATTCACTTCCTCCCCGACTTCATACCCATGGTTGCTGGGAGAGGTCTCTGAACATCAAAACAGGAATTGGGGAAATGGTTCAGTGAGTGGGTAGAGTGCCTGCTGAGAATTTGATTGCAGCTCTCCAAGCACCCACGTAAAAGCCAGACGAGGTAGTGTGTTGCTGGAGTTTCTTGCTGCTTCAGCCCCCAAATGAACACATGGAGATGCCATATTAATTATAAAAGTGTTGGCCGATGGCTAGGGCTTCATAATTATTAACCCATAACTACTAATCTGTGTATTTCTACATGGCCTTATCTTACCAAAACACCCAGTGTGTCCTATCCTCCCGGTCTCTCTCTGCCTACCTTTCCCAGAATTCTTGTCTCCTAGTCCCGCCTATCTTCCTACCTCTATTGGCCAGTGTTTTATTAATCATCCAATAAGAGAAACATGCATACAGAAGGACATACCCTGTCAGTGATGTATATCTATACCCCAGCATGGGGTTGGGGGGGGTGGCTCCCAGGGGCTCCCTGCTGTCATCCAGTGTAACTGAAATCCAACCCCAGGCTCAGAGAGCACCCTGGTCTCAAATATAAGGCAGACAAGCAACTGAGGAAGACGCCCTGATGTCAGCCTCTGACTTCACAGGTGAGTGCTCGCCCATGCCTTTTGCAATGAGGTCCCTCTGCCTCCTGCTTATGTACCAGATGCAAGCACTCAGCTTGACTGCTGCCATGCACAGTAATGGACTCTAACCCTCTGGAACCACGAGTTCCCAAATTAAACTCTTTTCCAAGTTGCCTTGATTGTGATGTCTCTTCATGGCAGTAGAAAAGTAACTAGGACCCAACACACACACACACACACACACACACACACACACACACACACACACTCACACCATCCTGATCACTGCTGGTGCCTCTGTGTGTTAGACAGCCATTCCAAATTGCATTAAGCCTGCTACCTCAGTTACAGGCCCCCTGCAGCTCCAGGAAACTAAGGGGGCACCTTGTCCCTGAGTTGCCATAGCAACAGACTTTTCCAGCAAGCAGAAGCATCATTTGACCTTCCATTGCCCTGAG